TAATTTTACATTGATTGAAATTGTATTTCCCTATCTTTAGTTTGATAGATGTGTCATTTCATATTTGTTATTTAAATTTTTTTAAATGTGACCTTCAATTGATTTTTTGTTCAGCCAATGAATATGCTAATAAGGTTAACATAAGAAAATTATTTCAAACCCAACTTATTAGAAGGCTATTATCAAATTTCTTCTGTATAGCCCAGGGAACTGTATTTGTTATCTTGTAGTAACCTATAATGAAAAAGAATCTGAAAACGAATATACATATGTATATGTATGACTGAAATCTTATGATATATACCAGAAACTGACACATTGTAAACTGACTATACTTTAATAAAAATTTTTTTTAATGTAAACATTTTTAAAAAGGTTATTACCACACTGGAATTTAGTTTCTAGCCATTCTTTTCCACTGTCTCAGGGTATTCCTAATGAGACCTGCATGTAGTAGAGTCCCAGTGTCTCGCTCTTTTTTTTTTTTTCCAGAAAAAAATTTGACAAGTGTCTTCCGTGGAAGGGACTTAGTGGTATATACAGATGGCTAGAACATTATGACTACATTAAAGGAAATTTGCAATAAGAAAACTAAAATACACAAATAACTATAAAACAAAGCAATATGGTAAGTGCCATATTCATATTATATGAAATATTTTCATAGAAATTAACAAAATGGGACTATTTAAAAGTTAACTCCCCTTCCATTTCTGTGACGGATGAGAATAAGACAAGCCATGCTGACTTAACCAGAGTGACCATCAAAAACTTCTCTTCCTGAGAAGGATTCCATGAAAAGTCTTTTGGAAGATGGTAGAAGTTCCTTTTAAAACAGCGTTTACTGTATGACTGAAGAATTGTGCTGTGCACCAGAAATTGACACAACATTGTAAACTGACTATACTTCAATAAAAAAAAATTATAGAAGAAAGGTACAGTGATCGCTTTGGCAGCATGTATACAAAAATTGGAAGAAAGAAACAGTGTGATTTAATAAATTGATCTATCAATAAAAATTTAAATATATGGAAAATAAATGCCAAAATGTAAGGGAAAAACAACATTTACTGAGCACCTACTAGATAACAGATATTTTAATAGAGAATGTGATATTTGATTCCTTGTGGGAGGTGGATGGGATTCAGGGTACAAAGAACTAGACAGCCTGAACTTTCCAGCTTCTACACCACTGGGTCCTGACTGCAGCTGAGCTTTGAGGAACAAAACATGGTTCTTACTATGGCTTTTGAATAGTACCAAATCATAGAATTTCTAAGCTAGAGAAGCATGGAGACCGTCTAGTTCAAGACCTTAATTTTAAAGATGAAGACACCAAAGCCAGCGAGACATTCAGATTCATCAGGGTTAAACCATGAGGACCAGATGAAGAAGTCAGATTCTCCTCTCTAGGTCAGAGATCATTTCTCATTTCCTCCTCAAGTGCTTATTATCTGATTATCAAATGGGTGGTATTATATACCATCAGCCTACGCTTTTGTTTTCTTTAGATAGTAACATGAGCTACAGTTTCCATACAGGCTTAATCACACACACCAAGCACCGAGGTATTACAGAGATCACTAAAAATAAAAATAAAAAGTTCCAGCTTCAGTGGAGGATAGCAAAATGTGAATTCCCACAATGAATGCTGAAAACAAACCAGGCATCTTGTTTCTTGGACTCTGAGTTTGAATTCCCCTGAAAACAGAGCCTCAGGTGTAGGTAACGTATCTGAGAGCTAATCCCAGGAAACAAAGTAGTGGGGGTGTCGAGGTAGGGGAAGGAAAAACTTTCGAGGCCATTCTGTGGGCACTGGGGAATTGATTCCACTAGAACCTCCAGAGAACAAAGAGAAGTCTTACAGAATCATTCCCCCTGAAGGACGGGGAACAGACTAATTGTCAGCAGGTTCACACCCTTCATTATCTGCGAAACGTCCTCAGGGGCATTCAGTTTTAAGCTGTGCCTGGGGGTGAGGAGATTGGTCCAGGATTCTCTCTCAGCCCTGAGAAGGCCTGGTAGCAGAAAGACAAATAGACCAACCTCTGGGTAAGCTGTTGTCAGCCTGATGTGATCTGGGTTCACTCCACTATCTGGGGCTGGGGCTGAAATCAAGGTGACCCAAAAGAATGTGGCATGGGTTTCAGAGATACCTGCTGCACTGGCTTAAGAAAGCTCTTTGAGAAACGGCAATTTGGGGCAAGCAATTATGAAGAAAATAACTATTATGTATGCTAAGGCCAGGTGATTCCTCCCAAACCTCAGCAGGGCAGCTCAGTTTTGTAAAAAGTACTTTCCAGAACACACTAAATATCCACAACTCTTGTTTCCTTGTGTCCTGTTGATCTTGAGACAAAAGCTCTAGCCCATAAATTCACTATGTTGCAAGGATGGGTAATAACACCGAGAAATACTTACATATTGGATCTAGGAAATCCAAGGTCTAATGCTTCTGAGGTTCAAAAAGAGGCCCACAAATATCATCGTGACCACTAAAGAGATATTTGGGGGAGGAGTAACCAAAGGATATCACTCTGATCTGCAGAGCCAACCAGAACCAAGGTGCCAGGGGTCAGTGCAGGCATCACGAGAGGAAGTACCGTGATGAAGAAGGCTTCCACCTTCGGCCGCAGTCTCAGTATTAAACGTGAGCTACCTATCAATGTGACACTTCATACAGTTCTTACAGGGAGTAGGTCCGATACCAGTTTTCAGAAAAAAAAACATGATGCTACTCGATAACCACTAATAGGCTCATGCATAAATTCCTTCCTTTCAAGAACCGAAAGAGATACCAGAGATTGTTAAAGCATGGGTGTGGGATTTTCTCAAATGCTTCTCAGATGGTTTTTGTTTTTCACTCTGTTACTATTGTGTATTACATTTCCTGGGTTTAGTGCATGATCCTTTTTGTATGTTGCTGGACACAGTCTACTAGCATTTCACTTAGAATGTCTGTGTCTCTATTCATAAGGGATATTGGTCTGTAGTGTTCTCCTGGTGTCTCTATCTTATTTTGATATCAGTGTAATACTGTCCTCATAGAATGAGTTATAAATTGTTCCCTCCTCTTTTCTTAAAAAAAAGCTTATCAGGGATTGGTTTTTAATTTTTCTTTGAATGTTGAGTAGAATTAACCAACTTTTGGTTCTGTTGATTTCCTCCATTGTTTTGCTCTAAGTTTCTCTCTGAGCAGGGTTTTTACTGCATCATTTAAGTTTTGATATGTTGTGTTTTCATTTTCATTCGTCTCAAAGTATTTTTTTCTTTCTTTATTGACTTCTTTGACATATTGGTTATTTAGGCCTGTACTGTTTAACATCCATATATTCAGGAATTCCCCAAATTTCCTTTTGTCATTAAATTCTAATTCCATTGTGCTTTGAAAATGTATTTTGTATGATTTAAATTTATTGAGACTTGTTCTATGGCAGAACATATGATTTATTTGGAAGAATGTTCCATGTGTACTTCAGAAGCATGCCTGTTCTATTGCTGTTGGTTAGAGTGTTCTATTGATGTCTGTTAGGTTTCGTTGGTTTATAGTGTTGTTCAAGGCTTCTGTTTTCTTGGACATCTTCTGTCTGGGTTTTCTATTCATTATTGAAAATATGGTACCAAAGTATCCAACTTTTATTGTTCAATTCTTTATTCTTCCCTTCAATTCTGTCAGTTTTTGCTTTATGTATTTTGAGATGCTGTTGTTAGGTATATATCTTTCTGATGGATTGATCCTTTAGCATTATGGAACTCCCTCTTTATCCCCAGTAACTTTTGTTTTGTTTTAAAATCGATTTTGTTAGATCAGGCATAGCAACTCTAGTTCTCTTTTGTTTACTCTTAGCATCATAAATCTTTTTGGATCCTTTACTTACAGCCTATTTATGTTTAATGGACAGTTCTTTTTTATGATTTCAGTATCTTTAAACTATTTTTTAAATGGCCGTATAATACAATTCACTTTTTTATTTTGATGTACAGCTCTGTGAATTTTAACACATGTGCAGTTATGTGTAACCATGCCCATAATAGGATAGAAAATAACTTCATCACCCCCCCCCAAACTCCCTTGTGTCATTTCAAACCCAGTCCTTAGCGTACAATGATATTCTTCCTGGTGGAGAGTTCTTATTACATTGTCAGAGGTTAGGGATTCATACTACATTATTACCACTACCATTATAATTTGACCTTTGTTTTGTTGATTAACCACTGCTGATAGAGTTGTTTCCTCTTCTTTTTTTCTTCAGAGGCTTTGTATTGAGTTATGTAACCATATCAGCGTGATGAGTTAAGGGCAAGTGGGGGTCATTTTCCAGGCTGCAGTGTTGGTTAGAGCCATGCTAACGTAGAAGGTTTAGAAAAAGTTGACTTGAAACCAAGATGAAGCTGAAGCTTGAGTCTTGTTTAAGAGCTAATATTTTCCACTAAAACTGGGGACACTACTAAGCATTGTTATATTACCTGCTACAAAGAGTAGCCTAGAAATTCAAGTCTTTTGGTGAAAGCTGAGTACCAGTGATAAAATTGTACCTGCGTGCCTGAGTATGCTTGGTGTTCACTTCATCCTCTCTCTCCCCCATTTGGCTCTTGAAAGCAAACAAGAGTGTAACAATAGGAGTTCTGGAATGCTCCTGTGTGAGGATGACCTTTGTATTACTGTTCATCCTTATCCTCTCTTTTCAGAGACAAGAGATTAAGTTAAAACTGTGCAGAAATCTTTTCTGGGCACAGGAATGAACTGCTTTTCCTCCTTTGCAAATTCAAAGGGTTTTACAGGATTTTCCCTTCTCAACCTCCACCCCCTACTCGATCCTGACCTTCACACCTTCCCAACATTAGGGAAAGGCAGGAAGTTTTCCCTGAGGTTTTTCTTTATGACGACATAATGGGGCAGGTTAATCAATGGGGAAAACCCCATGTGGGAACACGCCTTCTGTGTACATTCCCAATATTTGCTATAAGTAGGGCCATCCTAGGCCTAGGCTGCTATCAAACCTAACAGCACTCCCAGAGCACTGGGTACCCAGCACTGAGCACATCCATTCTTTGAGCTGAAAATGATGTGCAGTACCAAGAGTTTGCTCCTGGCTGCTTTGATGTCAGTGCTGCTACTCCACCTCTGCAGCAAGTCAGAAGGTAGGTGTCACCCTTTCTTCGAGCACAGGAGGAAGAACTGTTTTCATTTTCCTCTAAGCCTTGAGCTCCTCTGAGGGTCCCCAGGGGATGCAAGCCTGTTAGGAAATCTTCAAAAGGAGGTGATGAGGGTTGTGATCTTACTGGAGAGTAGAAGAGGGACTGGTCACAGCTGTCCATCAGGATCTTTTTCTTTGGTTAATTCCAGCAGATTTAGGGGAGTGGATGGACTCTTAGAGACCTCCAAGCTCCAGAACAAGCCCACAGTGCTATTTCTGGGAGTGAGGTAAATTGTGTACCATTATCACTGAATGGGGTCATTCTGAAATGCAGGAAACGCTCCCACTTCTCCAACTTTCTCACTTTGTCAAAGTTCAAAACTCATCCTTTAGGGATGGATTAGGGCCCTGACTTCATTCTTACAAGGCTTTGAGGACATCACTTGCCAATGCATCCCTTACCTTACAGAAGGTTGTAATTTAACTTGGGGGAGTGTCCAAGAATCGTTTCACTACTGTAAGAATACCTCATTTTTAGCAACAGGTGCATTCCTGAAGATACATGTGTTGAACTTTTATGAACAAAATAAAAAATTCGTATTAACTAATATTATAATTTCAAAATGCTTTAATTGAAGCTCTTATTAGCAGCTCCTATAAATTATTTTCCTTTGTAACTTCTTGTCTTCCCCTTCCTCTCAATACTCAGTAACCAGATAGTAGATTAAAATTTGCCAATTTATTCATTTGAAAGTCTACTCATAAGGGTTTCTTCAAGAAGGAGGTACATATTCTTGAGTGATTTCAGTGAATGGAAATAAAACACTGTCAGTTTGTGTTTCTTACTAAAGGTATTCCTTCTATGAGAAGTCATGTGCTTCTAAATAGTACTATTGAACCAACATTTCTCAGTACATAAACTATTTTTTTAAGAGAACTGGAAACTATGTTAAATTGGGTCTCAGAGGTATTGGAACTGTTCTAGGTAGTTTATTTACCATACGAATCAGATTCTAGGTTTTCCAGAATATTTATCATGAAATAAGTTCACTTATGTGGACTCAGTACCTTTCATTTCTTTTTAGCAGCAAGCACCTTTGACTGCTGCCTCCAATATACAGAACGAATCCTTCACCCCAGATTTATCGTGGGCTTCACACAGCAGCTGGCCAATGAGGCTTGTGACATCAACGCAATCATGTAAGTTATGAAGAGTTCTAAGCCGATTATGTTAGGAATCCATGGGAATTTCAGATAGAAAAAGCTTTGCCTTTTTGGAGTTTCATTCAGAAATTTCTGCTGTAGCAAAGACAGCTTTGTTTTAGTAGACACGTATACTTCAAAGCTCATTTTCAATAGGACTGGAAGAAAACAAAAGCTTAGTTTAAAGAATGAATATAGCTGAGGGCAAAATCTCTTTCAAAGATAAACTTATAAGCAACTAAAATGCTATCTCAGGAAAATACAAGAGACATAAACTTTGAAATGAGCATCTTCTACCAGAAAGTGGTTGGGGCTGTAAGTAAAAGCTCAGAGCAATTATACTGTCACATACAATATTCTTGATTTATAGAGGGTATTATACTTTGAATGAGAAAAGCTATTGATCAGATATATACATAGTTCATGTAACCACCACGAACAAAATTAAATAACAGTTCTGGGACTTAACCTTTCTGCCACTGAGCAACCAAATTGCAGCGAAAGTCAGGGAGAATCACTTTCATTCCTTGCGTCAAGCGTCATCAGAAGGAACTTTTTCTTTCTTTTTGCATTTGTCTCACCTCTGAAACAAATGAACTGTATAAGGTATAGAGCAAACAGTTGGGATATGAAATTTTCATTGCATGTTCTGTGGGAAAAAAAATTAAAAGCTCTTTAAATACAAATCAATTTGTCTGATTTTTCAGCTTTCACACAAGGAAAAGATTAGCCGTGTGTGCAGATCCAAAGAAGAACTGGGTGAAACAAGCTGTTCGTATCCTCAGGTACGGAACGTCCCCAGTCCGTTAACCTCCCTCCAAACGTTCGGGGCAAGAGCAATGTTCAGAGTGGTGGATCATAGGCTCACGGGGATGCTTTTAGCCTAAGCACAGTAGAATTTTAAAAGGGAAATTTGAATTGGACTATGAATACAAAAATTCATTTTCTTCCACTTGTAGATCATTTTAACTTTTTTAATTTAGTGATTTTTCACATGCTATATCAGATTCTTCTATGCACTTGATTGGCACTAGCTGCTTGATTCTTGTTGCAAAGATGCTTCCTATTTGTATAATTTACAGACGACATGACATATGGTTGTTAAAAGCTGGGAAGGGACCAGTGGCTCTGATTTACATCAATGATACGAGAGTGACATTTAGAGTCCCCTCACCCGAGGGTGTCAGACACTGAACGAAGACACAACGCAACTGGGCGTAAACTGCCTCTCCCATTACTTAGCTGGGTTACGCTGGGCAAGGCCTATCCTTGCTGAACCCGATTTCCTCACCTGGACTCTGAGTTGCTTGGCATCCTGAGATGAGGTTAGGGCATGTGAGGCAATCTGCAGGTACCAAAGGCATTCCTGCCTGCCAGGTCTTTGCTTATTTTTTCTGTCTTTTTCTCTTGATAGTCAAAGAGTCAAGAAGATGTAAAAACAGATGCTCCCTGGAATGGAATTGGACGCAGCCCAAGAACAAAAAGAACCCAGCCGGAGCTGGTTCCACCGGCACGCTGCTGGGGGCTCAGAGCTTATCTAGTTTGCACCTCTTTGGACTTGTCCAGTTAATGAAGTTGATTCATATTGCATCATAGTTTGCTTTGTTAAGCATTACCTTATACTCTATTTTATGTTATGTTATTTATGTATGTGGGTTTTTTGTGTTTTGCTATTTAATGCTGGTTTTCCATAAGCTGTTTGATTTAGTATGAGTTAGAAAGTTAAGTTTGAAGGAATAAGATACAGACAAGCAGAAGGCTATTTTAAAAAAAGAAGCATCTAACGTTCTTCTGTTTGTATAGTTTTCTTTCCTACACTGTTGTAATTACCTTGTAAAAAAGAAAAAAATGATAAGAAAAATAAATATTGAAAATAAAAGAAAGCACCAAAAATTGATTGAGTTAAGTAGTATTTATTAAGAGGCATATTACAAATATTTAAAGGTTTGGTAAATACTACAATTTTCTAAAAATTATAGTCCCCATTTACTTCTGCTTGGTTGTTCCCTTTATCTTAATCCCTTATGGCCCTGGACTTCATTCTGTATGAATTATAATAGGAAGGTTTTTTGACTTTTTTTAAAAAAATTCAAGTCATTCAAACCAAAATTAGAAAGATCCTGTATCTGAGACATAGTTCAATATTTATTGATATAAAACTTTTTAAAATAAAAAAAATTTATGCCCAAATATTTTGTGACTACAGGGACACAGCAACCATTTAGAAAATACATTGAGAAATCACTCAGTCCATCATCCTGTCACCAGACGTGGTCCTGGGAGTGGGCATCTCCTCACGGGAACATTGCTCTTCTTTGCACATCCTTCTGAGTCATCTTTAAGCCATTTCCAAAGAGGAAATGATTATTCAGAGGGTTTTTAGAAACTGATTGCCTCACTAATCGGAGGGGAGACAATGTGTGAAACCTAGCAAGAACCCAGAAATTCGATAAGAAGACTATGGAGCGCCTTGGCACAGCACTCCAGTCTGCTGCAGATTCCAAAGGCCACGGAGGATTAGCGGGGGCAGGTACGCCAATGACAGGAGTCAAAATCCAGGTACACACATCCATAAAGTGGGCGATAGTGGGTCATTTGGTGTAGAGCCAAAGCCTGTGATTCAGCAGGTCCTGAAGGCATCTCTGTGCTCACGAATAACAACACTGAGTCATCGGGGAAAGTGTGCTCAACATCCTGTTGGTTTATTCATCAAACATGGGTTTAGTGTCTATTATGAGTCAGGCACTGAGCCAAGTGAAGCTGGAGATACCAAGAGATTAAGTTAGGATTTGGTCTTCACTCCCAGATAATTAAGGCTGAGCAGTGTGAGGAGAGGGAGAGGACACCGCGAAAATCAGGTATTACAACATGGGGTGGTAAGAACTCGGACGAAGGAAGTCATAGGAGGCTAAATATAGGACATTAGCAGTAAGGGTTTCCCGAAGAAAAAAATATTCCCTTGAACCACATTAAATGGCCAATATTCAGTGTTCTCAAGCTGTGAAGATGGCAATTGTATATGGTTTAGCCCTCATTTAAGCTGAGATCTGAAGGGCCAGTAGGAGCCATACAACTGGAAAAGGGGCAGCAGCAGGTGTTTGGAAATAGCTGGAGGCATATTCTAGTCATCACAGTGTCTGAAGGTGGGTACCACAGGCATTCGGTGGGCACCACAGGCATTCGGTGGGCAGGAGACAGGGATGCTAAACCTACTGGAATGCACAGGATAGTCCCACACAGTGAAGAACTGTCCCACCCAAATGTCAATCATGCCACCAACTGAGCAACACCAGATGAAGCGGAAAGTAAGCAAGGAGTGGGTGTAGGGTGGAGTAGCTGCAGATGAAGCGAAACTGTTACCTCAACTAAGTGCAATGGTTTGAACTTGAACGTGGAAATTCTGGGGAACTACTGAAAAAGTCAAAGCAAGAGGAGAGGGAGGTGGGATGGAAGATGGATACAGAGGTACCAGAGACAGCTGTAACGAATAAGGTGAGACATGGAGAGACTCTGGCAAAATTAAAGGGGGTTTAGAGGAGGTTGGTTTGGAATTCCTGAGAATCACCCTAGACCCATCCAATCACCGCCAGGCACCCTCTCTTGGGGCAGCACAGCCAGAGAGGGCCATTGTCAGGGGACAGAGGTACATTTGACAGACTACTGCTGAGAGACCTCACCGGATGATCCTTGCGGAGCCAGGAAAGTAGCACATTTTGTTAGTGCTCTGAGAGTGTTTGAATCTTTTGGGACCAGAAATACTAATAAATATTAGCTGAGTTTCTGGAGACTGAATTTACCAGGCCAAAATGCCAATTTATTCATCACAATGGAAACGTTCCAGTGTCAAGTGCTTGGGTGTAAACCCATGGGCAGATCAGCGCATCCCCCCAGCAGTCCAAGTTGGAATCACAAAGCCGGATTGTTAAGCCTGGGTTCAGAATGCAGCGCAGGGTCTCAGCTGCGCGATTTGAAAATCTAATTTATTGGTCTCACTGCATTAACCATGTTCTCAGGTTAGGAAGGTTGCTCCCAATTCACAGTTTTTCTTTTCCTTACTTTTTTTTTTTCGTTTTGAAAAACATACTTTCTATTTAATTTTAAAATGAGGTATCATTAAAATAGATTAAAAGGCACAAATCTAAGGGTGCAGCTTGATGAATTTGCACATACCTGGGTGACACCTCTGGGCTGTATTAAATATTTTCAGTGCCCGGAAGGCTCCCTCATGCCCCCTTACATCTGTGCAGGCCCAGGATAACAGCTGTTCTGACATATTTCCTAGCAGATGAGTTTGACGGTTCTTGATTTCATGTAAGCACAACTGTACAGAATGTACTTTTCACTAGCATCTTCTTTTTTTTTAACTTATTTTAATTATATATGTAATCCGTGAACTAATTCTCATCCTTAAATTCAAGTGACAGGGAGGAAGCAAAGGACTCCTTTAAACTTCCCTAAAGCTCCTGGTGAACTCCGTGGGTTGGACTTTACTCTTTCTTAGTCATAGTAACCCTTTCGCTTTGTACCGTCTTCCCAAGGACATCAATTTCCACTACTGACTTATAGTTAGACTCTAGTCCTTTCTCTCTGGGATTCATCTCCAATCACTCGAGCCCTTTTGAGTTGTTCAAGGCATACATTTTCCAGAAGTCTTTTGTGTAAGGCTACTAATGCCTGGCAGTAGTCGTTGTCCTTACATGTGGATTTGACTTGTATTTACCAGCGTGTTTCCAAGCTCTTTAGTGCCTCCCCAGCACTTCTCATTAGTGGGATGGGATACTGTCTTCTGCATCAGGCAAAATTGACTCTTTCAGTCATGGCATTATGTAGGGTTGTTGGTGATTTTAGGAGTAACGAGGTGAAGAAGAAATGGTGACAAATAGTTTGGCAGTAAAAGTAAGAGGAAATAAAAGCTAGAAGAAGAATTTTTTTTAAGGTGGAAAAATATTGAAAGAGAGGGACAGACAGAAGGAGACAGAGAAAAAAGAGAGATTGAGAAGAGATTGAAGATATTAAAGAGCTGAAGCTTCAGTGAGGGGAATAAATGGTGGCTCATTTTCCCTCCAGAGGTGGGAGAAATGCTTCTCAGAACACAAGTCAATTGAGGTACCTCTTCCTTTAGAACAAGGGATGCTGGGGGAAGAGTGGGAGTAAACGGAGACAAATTTATGATATGGGGTGAGAGGTGGAAGTTGATGGAGTTGGCATCTGATGATCTTGTTTTTCCTGGTGAAAGACTTGTGTTCTTGAGAGTGATGAGTGAAGAGGAAAGGCTGGGGCTTTGAGAGGAAAGGGGAAGCTTTGTAAGAGCCAATGACAGACACAGGATACACTGAAGGATTGCTCCACGGTGTTGGGGCTTCACTGAGTTCAGAGACAATCAACGTGCTGATCCTGCATGTGCCAGGCAGCCCACTGCAGCTTGGCTGTAAGAGCAGGGAACCAGCAAGACTGGTTCAGGTTTAGCCTCTGCCTCTAGACCAGTGCAAGGACAAGAGGGCAAGAGAGCCAATGATGATGGTAGAGAGAGAGAGGTTGCTGGGCTGAAGCATGGGGTCTGGACCAGAGAGGAGGAGATGAAGCTGGAATGTATCTAAGAGACTAGTAAAAGATGAGAAGCCCTCAGACAGAAGGACTTAGTGTGGCAGTGAGTAGGCTGGAGGGGCTGGGGCAGCCCGAGACGCAAGGCTCATGGGTATGACTGTGGCTATGAGGCTCAAGTGGGATGGGGAAGGCTACCACATTGGACGGGCCATCCACATGGATTTTTTTCTTTTTAAGCAGGGACTTTCAAATCACAGGAACAATTTCATTATTAAAAATTAACACTAATTTCCTAATGTTGCCAAATGTTCAGTCAATAGTTAAACTTCTCTGTTTGTTTCAAAACAAGGTTGTTTTTATTTTTTGCAGTGGATTTGTTTGAGTGGAAGCGCTAAATAAGGTCTACAGATCGCATTTGTGTGAGTTGCTTCTCTTTTACTTTTGGTTATGTTTCTTATCACCACTGCTATCCTCTCTCTTTTTCCTTTGTGATTTATGTTTTGGAGAAAGCGGGACTTTTTTTCCCTGAGTTTCCCGCCTTCTGGCTTCCACTGGTTGCATTCCTGTAGTATTATTTAGCATATTCCCTGACTCCTAGTTGGAAATAGAAGCTGGGCTGGGGATGGGACAAGACCATTTTGTAAGTGGCATCATGCCACACATGTGGTTATAAAGTTGCCTAAACTGATGTCAGCAGCAAGAGTGAGAGAGGAACAGTGAGTCTGTGCCAAATTCTTCAAGGCATGTGAAGAACTGATCAAGACCTTTGAGTGTCAGCCAGGAGGAGGGGAAGTAAGACGGTCTAATGACACACTTGTACTTCAAAGGAGGGGATGGGGGAAGAGTGTGCTGAAGTGAAGAAGGACCATCATGGAAGCACAAGAAGGGTGGTCTCCACCTGCTCCTGGCCCAGCAGTCACCTTGAGAAGACCATGAGGGAAGTGATGCTCTTGCCATAGACTCAAGTTTCAACTGCAGAAAGGAGATAGGGGAGTGAAAGATGGAAGGACGGGAGAGAACTGTCAAGGAAGGCCAGAGTGGGACATCATGGAGATGAGTTGCATGCACACAACAGTATTTGGATAAAAGCATGAGAAGTATGAGAAAGGACAGATGGATGCAACGGTCTGAGTTTGGGTAGTGATCATGTCATTAATAACACCTAGACTGGTACGCAGCAAGTGATATGCTAACATCACTAATGTATTATCTCATTTAACTATGAGGTAGGTACCATTTTTATGTCTACTTTGAGGATAGGGAAACTGAGGGTCAAAGAAGTTAAGGAATTTACCCAAGGTCACATAGTCTTTAGAGATATGATGGAATTAGTTTGTCTCAAGTTTCCG